ATTGTGAAGAAGGTCTGGGAGAAGACATTAAGCCAAAAAAACGAATTTCGAAAAAATTGAGGGTTACGAGGTTTCATCACTCCACTAGTGATGAGCAACATTGATGTTTAGCTAACAAGCAAATTTAGCTCTAGAAATAAAAGCGACAAGAAAAACGAATGAAAATAAAAGCAAGAGGTCCTCCCTTACCCACGCAAAGATCCTAGAATTATGCAAAACCCATCTACCACGCCTTTGACTATCTTCCACCTGCGAAAGCTTAATTGTGCACGCCCACTTTTTTTAGCCCCACAAGCCGCCCCTGCCTAAAAGATAAGACTTTCGATTTCAATTTCATCTCCGACTGACGCCGAAACCATCTCCCTCTTACCTCCTCTTTATCATCTCAAACTAGTCTCACATAGAGTAGAAAACCTGAATTCGAATCCCATGAAGGGAAACAATTTTTTTTTTCAATTCGTTATTTCGGTTTTTCTGCTGGAACGTTATATCCCTCTCAGTCCGAGTTGGCTCTGGCCGCCAAGGTAGACACCACCTACTGGATTATCTCAATAGTGACGTTGAGGCCAAGGTAGACACCACCTACTGGATTATCTCAATAGTGACGTTGAGGCCAAGGTAGACACCACCTACTGGATTATCTCAATAGTGACGTTGAGGCCAAGGTAGACACCACCTACTGGATTATCTCAATAGTGACGTTGAGGCCAAGGTAGACACCACCTACTGGATTATCTCAATAGTGACGTTGAGGCCGAGGTAGACACCACCTACTGGATTATCTCAATAGTGACGTTGAGGCCGAGGTAGACACCACCTACTGGATTATCTCAATAGTGACGTTGAGGCCGAGGTAGACACCACCTACTGGATTATCTCAATAGTGACGTTGAGGTCGGAAAACAATGACATGGAAAACAAAAAACAAACAAAAAACAAAAAACAACCATTAATTAAGTCAATTAGATAGAACGTTTGTTAAGACTTAAACTTAAAGACTTCCAAATCGCTACCCTAGAATTACAATTTTGTATCTGCTCAGTACTTTCTCTCTGTATGCTTCCTGGGAAACTGGGAATATTTCTGAGTGTTCTGTGATCAGCTGTGGTAATAAAAATATAGTGTAAAGCGCAAAGAGTCTTGCTGTGGAGCAAGGTTATGCGCTATACAAATTAAATGTTATTTATTATTATTATTATTATTATTATTATTATTATTATTATTATTATTATTATTATTATTATTATTATTATTATTATTATTATTATTATTATATTGTTATTATTATTATTATTATTTATATATTATTATTATTATTATTATTATTATTATTATTATTGTTGTTGTTATTTTTATTATTATTAATATTACTAATATTATTATTATTATTATTACTATTACTATTATTATTATTATTATTTTCATTATTATTATTATTATTATTATTATTATTATTATTATTATTATTATTATTATTATTATTATTATTATTATCATCATTCTTTAGATCTGAGAAATTTGGCGTAAAAATTTGAGTTTCACAACTCGTCAATACTTTTCGAATGTAATTCTTTGAATATCTAGATCTAGATAACAATTTAAAATAATCAAACAGTTTTCACAGAGAAGATAGAGCATTTGATTTGTGATCACATGGTCTTAGTAACTAAAAAACGGCCAGAAATATCAGATAGAACTTCGTAATTCTGAGGTAGCAAAATATCAGGCGTTGTGTCGTCTCACTACAGAAGTTGTAACAAATGTAAAATTATATGCGCGAATTTGTGCCGATGAGGGTGTAGAAATAGTCCTCTGTTCCAAAAAAGTGTGTGTGTTTGTGGGGTTGTTTTTGGGGGGGGCTTATTTTTGTTTGTTTGGTTGGTTGTTTGGTTGTTTGTTTGTTCTGTTTCTTTTGCTTTTGTGTGTTTTGTTTTGTTTTGTTTTGTTTTGTGTTGTTTGTTTTGTTGGGTTTTTTTGTGTGTGTGGTTGGGTTGTTTTTTTTTGGGGGGCATCTACTCCACTTGTACATCACGAAATGTCTAGGAAAGTGGTGGTGTCTTTTCTCTGTACGTATGCATCCTGTGTCCGGCTCTCCCGTTTTCAAATTGATCAACTTAGGCATCACACATCTCCCCCTCCCTCTATCTCCCTCCCTCTCTCTCTCTCTCTCTCTCTCTCTCTCTCTCTCTCTCTCTCTCTCTCTCTCTCTCTCTCTCTCTATCTCTATCTCTCTCCCTCTCTCTCCCTCTTTCTCTCTCTCTCTATTTCTCTCTCTATATCTCTCTTTCTCTCTCCCTCTCTCTCTCTTTTGTCTGTCTGTCTGTCTGTCTGTCTGTCTGTCTGTCTATCTGTTTGTCTTTCTCTCTCTCTCTCTCTCTCTCTCTCTCTCTCTCTCTCTTTCTCTCTCTCTCTCTCTCTCTCTCTCTCTCTCTCTCTCTTTCTCTCTCTCTCTCTTTCTCCTTCTCTTTCTGTTCCTTACTCACCTTCACATACACACACACACAAA